TGTCTCTAAAGTGTGATAATTCTTCAATTTTGTATAAGTGACCAAATCAGATACTGTAAAATAATCAAGCCATGTTATGCTTATATGTTAAGATTCTGATCTTGCTTTTTTCGGAGCCCTAGGAATTACGTGCACTTACTTTATACCTACTTTTTGCAAGTTATGGATGACTTTGGTTTGCATTTGACCTTTTTCATAAGTATGCAGGTTGCTCTTTGATGTTGTATATGAGTGAATATGTCTAAAGGCTGATATATCTATAGGTTTTGACTTTTCTATCATTTTAAATTATAGTTTTACGTTGAGGTTGATCTCTTTTTTTTCTATTGCTTTAACAATTACGTGTACTTGTCTTGTACTGACTTTTTTTAAGTCCATGGTGTTTGGGTTTTACATCTTGTTTTTTTACTAAAGCTGTATTCTTTTGTGTGCAGCAAGAACTTGTTTTGTACTGATTTTTTCAAGTCATTAGCGTTAAAATTTTGCTAGTATTTGGAAATCAAATGACATGTCTCTTAAGTGAGATAATTTTTAAATTTTGTATAAGTGGCCAATTCAGATTCTGTAAAATAATCAAGCCATGTTATATGGTTATATGTTGGGGTTCTGATCTTGCTTGATTTAAAGCTCTAGGAATTACATGACTTAATTTGTACCCATTTTTTGCAAGTTATGGATGACTTGGGTTTGCATTTGCCTTTTTCATAAGTAAGCAGGTTGTTTTTTTGATGTGGTATGATTTAATATGTCCAGTACTTTGAAATTACCAAGTTAGCTGCCTGCTTGTGTTTTTTAACCAAAACGGTCAAGACAGCAAACTACTTGTTGTAAAACCTAATATTTTGAAGTATAGATTCACATTTTATGAGATTTTTGGGTTGCTGAGCATTCTTGGCTCAACTTTAACCAAACCACATTGGAAAACCAGATGACTACACTGAAACTAGATTGTAACTAAATAATGCAACAAAATCACAGACACTGTCAGGATTGTGCCTGGGAGGATCACGACAAAGGTGAAAGCAGTACACATTTCCAAATTTGATAAGGGATGTTTTAAAGTTAACATTCTGCTTCTATTTATTGTTTTCAATTTAAGTGACAAATTCTATATGAAAAATTTTCTATATTTATTTCTGTCTTAAGCTGGTTGAATGATTTCTTCTTGCAACAACTTTTCTGGTTGTGACTATCTATAATCCATTTTATTTGATAATGAATTACTGAATATACATGTGCCTTGTCAAAATGTACTTCCTTATTTTCCATTCATTATTTAAAAGATCTAGGTCTAATTTGCTATTTTGATTCCAATGAACTGCACACACTTTGCTATTGATACTCTATAAATTCCTCATTTCTTAGTCAAAAGTTAAAACTTATGCATGTTTCATTTCCTTGTAATTTTTCTGGATTGTTTCGATTACACCTTCTTACATATCTCATTATTTTACTTGATATGGAAGTATACAGGTATACCTGCATACCTGTATACAGCTCAAAATTCCTATCTCATAGTATTGGCAATTCTTACCAAAATATTAGATTATGGGTAGTGAAGGGGCCAGAGTGGAAACAAGTAAACAGCTGGGGACTAAAGGACTGAAATTTTATTACTTAAAAAAAAATCACATCAAATAATTTTGTAGGAACTTGTTTTGGCTACAACATTGTTCTTGTCCACACTTCCTGCTGGAACAAAATAGAAAGACAAAGTGATTAACTGGTTGAATTTCATATGAGTTTGTTGTTAAGAATTAACTTCTGACTCCTCACTTTAAACTGCAGCAGCACTCAAGTTTTCTGCCTCCGCCTTAAAGTGAAGACTAGAATAGTTAAACTTGTCAAAAGTCAGTAGCCGATATCCAACTTTGATAGAGAAATGAGAAACGACCTAAGAACAAACAATGAGCAGAAGATAAACAATTATTTAATAACAAAAGAGTACGCATTTTGTTTTCTTTAAAAACAGAAGTATGTGATTATATTTAGGTACTTATATTTCATAGCTGCTGCTATGTATGGATGTCAAAGCTGAACTCCTCCAATATACTGACAACTACTTGAGGTAAAGGTGATTCCACGATGGCCTCAGGCCTCAGTCTCTGAACAATGATCCAGGGGACTATGTAGTCTTTCTCTGCGGCTGACAAACTTTCATTTTTGGAAAGTGGAAGTGAGAAACTATATCCTAAGAATATAATTAATTTATTCATGACAAACTTTAAACATTATACTTAAGGGTGGTGTGGAGGTTCCTTCCTTGATTCTGCACAATGAGAATGAAAGCTGAGCGTGGGATGTTCCAGAGAATGTCATTCTCACAGCGTACCTGCAACAACAAACTATATTAGCCCTCAAAGTGATATACCGAAATATATTTTAGGCACACTGCATATGACAAATTAAGGGAGAGTTGGCAGAGCTATTCAAAATTTAACAAACAGGAAGACATGAACAAAAATTGACCAGCAATATGTACACATCTACTATTTCTTTTTTTAAAGCAGCACTGTAGAAAAAATGAGGGAGAGATAATGAGAGCAAACTAGGAAAGGGGGTGATGACATTAATTTGCTCAAGAAAGCATAAGCGGTGTCTAAAACCAAAGTCATATCGGTGCAAGCAGAAAGAAAATTGGAAACCAATGTGACAAAGCGGGGTTTTGAAGACTCAAAAACCACATTTGCAAACGGACTGAGAAAACAAAAGCCAATTCCAAGTGGTGTAGACTTACACTCACATCGTGTAGAATCGAAGAAACGCACTGACATTGAAACTATGGCAATAAACACCATTTGTGAAAATATTGTGTTTTTGAGTTCGTGAGAAGAGTGACGCTCGCTCGAGTGATCGACGCTTATCCGCAGTTGCTCTGGGCATAACGCATCGTAGTGCGTCTAACGCCTGCAGACACTTCCGATCATGGGGTACTTCCAGGAGTTTGTGACAAGGCGTATCGCCAGCAGAAGAACGTCCCAGCCCAGCTGTTTTGTTTCTTTCGTTTCGGTCCAATGACTCAGTGAGTCAGTGATGTATGTGTGTAACCTCAGTTTGATGTAGTGCATGACAAGTCTTGCGTCAGAGAGGCAGACATTCCGCAAGTCGTTGCCTCGATAAGACATTTACAAAATATGGATAAGCACCTTCTGTAAAAAATTGTGAATACCAACACCTAACCTGGTGGAGAGGTTACTCTTCTCATGCCAGGCCACTGTTTGGGAGATGAGGCACCAACGGGAGAGGCAAGGTCAGAACAAAACTTAATCATTATTAGTTAATTCCAAGTAGCTTACTACAATGACACACTTTTTGCTTTCATTGTATGTTGCCGTCAAGTTTAGTGGAATCGTACAAAGCAGTACTGATTTATCCATTCATGTTCTGAGCAAAGGGTCGTAACTTGACTTGCGACAGTTTTCCCTGAAGTCAATTAACACCTCATTTGTTGTAAGTGGACTTACGCCTGTTTGCCCAGAATTAGAACGAGACTTTTACTGTCGTAAGTCTTAACTGTCTATAAAGGCTTATTGGTGGCACATTTAACTATTTTGACAAATACATATTGTTGGTACAGGTCAACTCTAACAACTATCAGGTTTAGATGGTTATACATCTTGAAGAACGTATTTCCTTTGTTTCTGGAGAATGAGTGAGAAAAAGTTACGACAGTTTACCCAAATGCCACAGAAATGTCGTTCCGTGTTTTGCATTTCCACGTGAAGGTTCTAAAGTATAAAAAGGTAGATTTACGCCAGACCACGTCTCGCGTAACAGGCTTCGCGATATCTCACGAAACACTGTTACGCTGCGACGCGCCAGGCATACATCTACCTTGGCCTGCGGCGCTGACACCCGAGTCGGATAGTGCAAAAATGTACACAAAGATACGGTCCTCCGGCCCGTCACTTCGACTAAGCGTTGTACATTTTTTCGCTTATTTTCGTCAAAAATACCCTCTAGGGCGGTTTGAGCTAGAGCAAAACGGACCAAATTTTCGCCCGGAGGGCTCTACTTTGATGAGTTACCCCTTGGGAAACCATAGACAAATATTTTTAAAACACGTCATTTTGGGGACCGCATAGATACCTTAACTGTCTAAAAATATGGGAAGAGTCGAAAAAAATTGCTGAAATGGTCCGAAATCCAAGTCAAAATCCAAGTAAGGAAGGTGCGCATAGTTAGTGACATTTTCTTCGATGTTTTTCGAAAAAAAAATTATACTTCACGATAATTTAGTTACAAATTCGGCCTACCTCTGTGCAAAATCTGGATGGCGTAGCTCAAACGGTTCCGGAGATGTAGACATTTGAAGATCACATTTTTTCTGGTTTTATGATGTTTTCCTACTATAAATTGTCCAAAACAAACGAAAACATAGTATGGGCAGCTAAAACCGGTGCCAATCACAATCTACATATGTCCCCTGCAATATGTATCGCGCCCAGCGAAGTTGGTGTGTAACACCTAAAAACCTTCCCTTGTAGGGCGAAACTGTACATTATACAAACTTGTGCGCCTCACGTTCAGAAGCACTTGTTAACCTGTGACACATCAGCCTCGATGTTCAACGAAAACAAGAACCTGTATGAGCCAGGTACAGACCATCAGAAGAATTTGCTAATAGAGCAACTGTACACATACAGATGGGACATAGGAGTACCAGACATAGACAACCAGAGTGTTAGTTAACTTGGCTCATCAATTGAATACGCTAGGCCAAGAAATAAACTAGGTAGATGTCCGCCAGACCACGTCTCGCGTAACAGGCTTCGCGATATCTCACGAAACACTGTTACGCTGCGACGCGGCTGGCATTCATCTACCTAGGCCTGCGGCGCTGACACCCGAGTCGGGTAGTGCAAAAGTGTACACAAAGATACGGGCCTCCGGCCCGTCAACGGCCCGTCACTTTGACTAAGCATGCAGGGTTGTACATTTTATCGCTTATTTTCGTCAAAAACACCTTCTATTGCCTAAGCGGTTTCAGCTAGAACAAAACGGAGAAAATTTTCGCTCGAAGGGCTCTACTTTGATGAGTTACCCCTTAGAAAACTGTAAAAAATATTTTTAACAAACATTACGTGTGGGACCTGTGGTTTTTGATTTTTTTTAAACCCAATTTTTGAGCTAGAATGCTCTTCTTCGAACTCGATCTGTCTTTTTATGATACAAAACGACCCTGAAAATCCCAGGTCGCTAGCAGGGATAGGAAAGGTAGTCCTGCCTCAGTACCTAGGTACTGTACCGGTAGAATTTGAAAATCAGTACCTAGGTACTGTAAAGGTACTTTGGAAAGATCAATACCTAGGTACTGTACCGGTATTTCGGTCCACTACCTAGGTACTGTAAAGGTACTTTGTAGGTACTTTTCAGCATTTCCCCGTAATGAGCTTTTCCCGTCACGCACTTAATATTTTACGTTACCACTCTCCAATACTTAACAATTCGCACCCCTTTTCAACTAATTTTTAGCAGTGTCATTCGGTTGGCCAGTGACCGCTCTTTCTCGCTCATGTGAGTGGGTTCATCAAACGCTTCCCTTTCCGCTTACAAGAAATGCGCGGTCAAGGACATGGCCGATGCTGCACATTGCGCACGCCTTTTGTGCAATGGACCTGTCGCTTCCCCCAAACATGTGGCCTGCAGGCGGGAGGAGGAGACGGGGGTGGGGAGGGGGCGCAGTCTGCCGCCCTTTGTCTATTCGGGGAAGATGGTTGACCGGGAGGCCAGCCGGAACGAATTCTCCATACCCTCTTTCCCTCCACGACACACACGTCGTGCCAAAACAAAGCCATTCCGAAAAATATAGTTTGGTGGTGACGAGTATTCTCCTCTTTCGTTCGGTGGACATCGCTTTTAAAGTACCTTGGGAAGTACCTACAGAAAGACGGTATCGGTGTTCCAAAAAGTACCAAGGTATCGGTAAGGTAGAATGAAATTTCCAGTACCTAGGTAAGGTAAAGTATCGGAGAAAGTACCTAGGTACTGTACTACCTAGGTATTTCCCATCCCTGGTCGCTAGCTCAATAGGGTATTCCGCTACAACACAATCGGAACCTAAAGAAGAAAAGCATGACTACCCGAACTGTTTCCTCCTGAACGCTGATTGGCCAAAGATGGCGTGGCTGTGGCGGTCAGCCAATGAGCGCGCAGAGGGAAACAGATCGAGCAGTCATGCTTTTCTTCTTTAGGTTCCGGTTGGCTTGCAGCGGAATACCCTATTCGTTCTCGAGTTATCGTGTTGACAGACAGACGCGAAACTTTTTAATAATCACTAGAGTAATAGGCTTCGCTAATCGCTCAGCCAACAAGGTACATGTGCGCCAGACCACGTCTCGCGTAACAGGCTCCGCGATATCTCACGAAACACTGTTACGCTGCGACGCGCATGGTATGCGTCTACCTTGGCCTGCGGCGCTGACACCCGCGTCGGGTAGTGGGAAAATGTGAACAAAGGTACGGGCCTACGGTCCGTCAACGGCCAATCACCTCGACTAAGCATGCAGGGTTGAGCATTTTTTGGCTTATTTTCGTGAAGAATACCCTCTAGCACCTCAACGGTTTGAGCTAGAGCAAAACCGACAAAATTTTCGCCCGTGGGGCTCTACTTTGAAGAGTTACCCTAAAGGAAACTATAACTAGGTAGATGTACGCCAGACCACGTCTCGCGTAACAGGCTTCGCGATATCTCACGAAACACTGTTACGCTGCGACGCGCCTGGCATACATCTACCTA